TGTGGACATGCTGTGGGGCTGGACACTGGCACTACCATCAGGGACCCCAGACACCTGCTCTGCACTTCTGGTCTCTTGGGATCCCGAATGGCCCCAGAGAAAGTGGCTGGAACTCCTGTGTCTCACTAGGACCTCGTAGCAGAAAAGCCAAGCAAGGCTCCCAGCCCCCGGCCCTCCAGTCCTGCCCCACTTGCCTACACAGCAGAGCGGGAGGCAGCACATGCCACTTGCCCTGGTGGCCTCCACCTCCACGAGGCCCTGCCCAAGCAGCCAGCACGTCTCGACCAGTGCGCAGACCCAGCTGCCACCCCCACGGGTCGTCTGGTGGAGGCGGCTAATCACCAGGGCACTGGGCTCAAGTGGGGCGAGGGCCCAGGTCCTCCACCCAAGCACGCCATCTGAAGAGCCGTTGGGCCCTGGGGGTGGCTCACAGGCAAGCAGCTCCATGGCAGGCGGCAGGCTGCAGCCTGTGTCCCCAACCCACACACAAGAGCTGCGTGCGAGAGAGGATTCACCTTGTGTGGCCCCATAGCAGGGTTCCTAGCCTGTCACATCACGTGAGATGGGCACACCTCCAAGACACAGGGCACGCACGCCCATGCACGGGGGCGGGCACTGGCTTATGAAGTCTGGGGTGGGGCCCAGACCTGGGATTTTTTTTTTTTTTAATTAAACTTCCAGGCCGTGTTTAGAAGAGCTTTAACAAGGCCAGGGAGTTGAAATCCACAGGAAGGAGGGAGGTGGCAGGTGGAGTAGCTGCCCCATGGGGAGTGAGGGCCCCGTCCCTGGACACTTGGTGAGGATCTGATGGAGAATCGGGTTGGGAGGCCAGGACCTCGAGGCCTCTTTCCTGCCCCCTCATTCTGATAGGGCTCCAGGACAGAGCTGGGTGGAACGTGCCAGCACTTCCAGCCTGCTAGGATGCAAAAGCCTCGGCCAAGCCCCCGGGCCCTGGCTGAAGCCCCGTGTCCCACCCCACTCCCCTCCTCAGAGCAGCCAGAACTTCTCCCACCCCACTGCACATAGCGTGGAGCTCTGAGAAACCTCTCCATGTTCTTGGGCTGAATTTCAAACCTGAGCTGCAGCCTGCAGGGGGGGATCCACACCTGCTCCTCACCTGCCCCAGCCACACGGCCTCAGCATGCTAGGGAGCCTCCGCCATGGGCCCTGCAGCTGCAGGTCCCACTGCCTGGCCAAACCCTGGGGACAGCCTGGCCACATTCAGCACCTCCTCCTCACTTCCCAGGGGAAGCCTTGCCTGCCCCTGGCATGGGCTGGAGTCCCACTGTCCCCCATCCTGGGCCTCTCCTCACCCAGGGTGATAATGATGCCCGCCTCCTGCCCGGCCTGGAGAGCTTCCCCACTGAGCCCCAGCCCTAAGGCCCAGCTCGGAGGAGCCCCTGATGTGAAGGAACAGATCGGGTGATCTTCGATTTAGCAAATCACAGACCCTTTCAAGAAACCTAAAAAAGGGCACGAATGGAGTCCAAGCACAACCCTGCACACACTCTGAGCCACCTGGGCCACTGAAGCCCACTGGGGTCAGGAAGTCCTGCTCTCAAAAGTGCCCCTCGGCCCAGCAGGCTGCCTCTCCCTGGGAAAGTAAAATGAACTTTAGGAGGGGCTGGGTGAGGCGGAAAGGGCCACTGGCAGTGGGAGCTGGGTTGGGGGGTGCCACTGCTGCCGCCTCGCCACAAGACCTCTAAACACCCCAGTTTTCTGGGTGGTTCCATGGACCAGCCCAGGCCTGGGAGTGTGCTCAGAGGCCCCAGCTGCCACAGCTGCTGACCAGGGCAGGTTTGTGCCTCAGACTGTTCCTGGCAGCCACCAGGGTCCCAGCTCTGGGAGCTAAGCTCAGGGGACACCCAGCCCATCAGCAGAGGAGAAAGCTATGTGGACAGTGGCAAGCTCCTGCCCACTGCCCTGGTGCACACCACCACACAGGGCAGCCCCAGGTCACGCTAATTGCCCATCTGGCAGCACAGGAGTTAAGTCCAGCACAGCCGCCAGCTGAAGTCTAAGTGTCATGGGCTGCCTTCTTTCTGGGGGTTCTGGGGAGAGTCCATTACCACCTTCTCCAGCTAGAGGTCACCTGCTCTCCCTGGCTCAGGTCACCTGGAAAGGGGGGCTCAGAAGTTTTTGGTTTTTTTTTTTTCAGCCATAACCTGGGCTCCAAGGATCTGGGTGGCCACCACCACTGTCCCTGGGAAACCGTCTGCTAGAGATGTTAATTGACATTTTCCTTTCAGTCTGGGAGAAAATAAAGGTGCATCTCCAACCAGCACAGGGACCGATCCACGTGCAGGGGAGCATGAGATGGGTGAGGGTGGGGGTGGCCACAGGTGACCACAGGGCTGGGAAGGCGATTCTGGCTCCTAAATCAAGATCAAGATGTACCATCCTGGGTTCCAGCAACCTACGCCACCAGACACCATCAGTGTCCAACTGTCCAGTCAGCCTGTGGGGAAAGGGACCATGTGCCAGCCAGCCATGTTCCCAAAGCCCCAGACAAGGACAGGCTCTTGCACGGACTTGGCAAATGCCTGGGGAATTGTCAAAACCCCTCAAGAGGACTACTGGGGACACTAAGGCTCATCTAGGACAGGCAGATAGCTCCAGGCAATTCTAAACAGGGACATGGTTCCAGTGTAGTGGACAGCCAGCCTGCTCCTGGGGCTCAATCCCAGGGCTGCCACTTACTCCGTGCCCTTGGACAAGTTACTTAACTTAAACTGAGCCCCAGTTTATCTCTCTGTAAAACAGGAAGCCTTGGAGTCTCAGAGCCTCAAGAACTATAAAACCTCATGTGCTAAAAACTGTCCCGCTCTATAGCAAGGATCTGGATGCTGCCACCCTAGAAATGTCCTTTGGGGATGCCTTACATTTAGTACTTTCATTAATCTTTTAATTTCTTTTAATGAAGATATTACCTCTATTTGGGGGGGGGGATTGAACTCAGGGGCACTTGACTCCGGAGCCACATCCCCAGCCCTATTTTATATTTTATTTAGAGACAGGGTCTCACTGAGTTGCTTAGCACTCCGCTTTTGCTGAGGCTGGCTTTGAACTCATGATTCTCCTGACTCAGCCTCTGGAGGTTCTGGGTGTCTCTATTTTTACAGGTGTCTCTATTTTTAAATTTTCTCCTATCGTAATGAAACATTTCAAACAAACCTAAAAGTATACCAAATAATATACAAAAACACTTTCCACCCATATTATTTTTTCAAGGAATCAAATTGGTCACAAGTTCTCAATATTTTTCATTTTAGGAAATAAGTGAAAGATACAGCCAACAGCTCCCTCCGTTTCCCCTCCCACCCACGCCCACTGCCTGTCTTCCTAACTCCCCTTCCGAGGTGTCAGTGTGGCCGCTGTTTTCTCTAAGGACAAATCTGCACCATCTGCATCATGCTATGCTAATACTTTTCCATTTGCATTTCTAAGTTGATTTATTAGCTTTATTAATAATCAAGCTGGTAGGCTCTGGGCAGGCAAGGATGTGGGTCTGCTTCTGGCTGTGTCTGCTCCGGAGCCGCCTGTGGAGCTCCCACACTGACCTGGAGTGGTTCTCGTTCCGGGGCTCTGTGGGGCCCTGGGGTCCTCGGGTACCTGCGCCAACCCACCCTGGACGTACCTGCCACACTGGCCATCCTCAGAGCCTCCTGGTTCTTGGGCGTCTTGGAGCGGTTCTGGCTGCGCTGCTTGCCCCCAGTAGACCGGATGCTGCGGAGGTGGACCTCGGTGGCCTTGAAGAAGGCCACCATGAAGGGCTGCTTATGCTGGGGCCCATGCCGCCCGATCAGGCCCGCCAGCTTGGGGTTGACGCTCTGCCCTAGGGAGGAAGCAGCCAGACATACAGATGGTGGTTCTGGGAGGGACAGGGCAGCTCCGTGCTGCAGATATCATTTCCCCTGCCCTTCATCCATGGTTCTGCCACCCACCAGTCCTGGCCGCAGCCAACCCCAGGCCAGGAACTGTCCTAGCAGCCTGGAAGCAGCTACAGGCAAAAGAGAAAAGCCCCCACTCCCTGACTTTGCACAGGGGGGAGGCGGCCGAGGGACCCCCGGGGTACTGAGTGGGACCGGTAGGTGTGGAGGAAAACGGGCAGGGGAGGGGCAGGCTGCAGTTGGCAGAGGGTCCCACACCAGGTGCACCTAAGTCCCATTCAGTGCTACGTGGACAGTGGCAAGCTCCTGCCCACTACCCTGGTGCACACCACCACACAGGGCAGCTCCAAGTCTGGGGTGGTCACCACACAGTTCCATGGCCAAAGTGGGTCACATAGTCAACCTAATTTGGAGGGGGCCATTCCTGTCCTGTGCCAAGAAGGGTGGGCACAGCTTCCAACAGCCCTAACGACTGCAGAGAGACCACTGGAGCGGAGAGCTGAGGACCATGAGGAGGAGACCCCTCCAGACAGAGGGAGCCCAGAGGCAGTTGTCTGGAGGTGGGCGGAGGGCCACGGGTGAGGGCTGCAGCGGGGTGGGTAGTGGGCAGGGGCAGCAGGAGTTCCGATGGTGTCGGTCCTGTGGGCAGCAGCAAGCTTTTGCCTTGACTGTCCACCGGGCCAGCAGTGGTCCCACCAGAGCCTCAGGAGAGGACAATTTGGAAATAGGGTGTTTAAGATGTAATTCAAGGAAAGGCCAAACTAGGCCAGATGGGCCTTGATCCAACAGGCTGTTCCTGGGAAGGCCAGGTGAAGGCAGAGGCACAGGCACCAGGGAGGGAGACGGGCCCGACGCTGGGGTTGCCGGGAGCACCTTCAGCAGGGGGGCACGGAAGCATCCCTCCCTGGATCCTGGGAAGGAATCCCCCTGTGGACACCCCGGTGACGGATGTGGGTCTTCCAAGCAGTGAGGGAACAAAGCCAGGCTGTCCTGAGCCACCCAGGCTGTGGAACTGTGTTCCCAGGGAGGCCACCGAGGCACTGCCTGAGTGGGAGACACCGCTTCTTACAAGACCACCTCGGTCTGTCCCTGGGGACTGGACTTCAGAGATCAAGGACAGGAGCAGAGGGAGGAGGAAGAGGGGGAGGAACCACCCGACAGAGGTGAAGGAGGCCCAGCCTGGGCGCTGAGTGGTCCCTAAGAAGAGGTCGGATCCCCCAGGTTCGTTTTTTAAACCCGTATCTGGAATTTACTTTCACTCTTTGTTTTTAAATAAGTCTAGATTCACTGAAAGTTGGGGGAAATCCACAGGAGGCCCCACGTACCCTTCACCCAGTTCCCCCAATGGAAACATCTCAACGAGAACATGACGTCCCAAGCAGAGAAGGGCAGGTTCTGGGTGTCTTGAAAGGGAACCTCCCGGAACGTGCCCAAGGATGTGGAGACCAGAGACAAGACGCTCCCTGGGGACCCGAGAAAGGAAGGCCGCTCGTCTGCCGTGGCGGGGAAAGCAAGGCCGGGCTGGGCAGTGGAGAGGGAAGGCGTTGGGTTAGGGGACATTGTCTGGAGTCCCTACTTGACACCCGAGGGGAGCAGCCAGGCAGGTGGCCCAAGGTCCCAGTCTGAGCGTGGCTATGGATCCAGCCAAAGAGAGACGCTTGGCCTGGGGAGGCTCAGGCCAGCCACCTGCGTTCAAAGCCAACCTCTGGGCACAGCGCACGTGCGGAGCTCAGAGGAGCGGTCGAATGCCAGCGAGGGCAGCAGGCGGGGCCAGCGAGGGGTTTCAGGAGAGGCGATGAGCTTGCCCGGGGACAGCGTGTGGCTGAACACGCTGGGCCCAGGGGCTCTTTCTCTTCCACAAAGAGGTGGGGGCCTATGGAGAGACTGCACAGGAAGGCCTCAAAGGAAGGTTCCAGAAGAATCCCGGCAGGAGGAAGGGGACACCAGGAGGGGACGGGATCATCCAGTGGAGGAAGTGATCCTCATGTCCCATCCTCTGCTGACAGCCTGAGTCAGGGCCTGGGCACCGACTGTCAGTCTCTGGGCTGGGACAAGGACGAGATCATTGGAAATCGTACTCAGTGTCAGGTCTGGGGTGGGGTACAAGCTCCAAGGGGAGAAAGAAGCTTCCGATGAAGACAAAGCCTACCTAACATGGGGACAGCTGGGAAGGCGGAGTGCTGCCCCCAGGGACACACAACTTGGAGCCACAGTGCAGAACTTGAACCCAAGTTCAGGCTGACCGAGAATCTGGAATCTTTTTTCTGCTTCTTCTGATGCTGGGGATTGAACCCAGGGGCACTTTACCACTGAGCTACACCCTAATTCCTATTTATTTATTTAAATTGAGACAGAATCTCACTAAGTTGCTGCGGCTGGCCTCGAACATTCAATCCTCTGGCTTCAGCCTCCTGAGCCTCTGGGATTACAGGCGTGCACCACTGCGCCCGGCTTCTCGAGGACTCTTGACCACTGAAGCTAGGACGCCCAAGGTCAGGCAAGAGGGGTCAAGGCCACAAGAACAATGTCTCCATAGGGCCCTGGCCCATCCACATCTGGAATTAACTCTGCCTGGAGTCCCCCAGACGGGCCAGGAGTCAAGGAAATCTCTCAAGACCAGATCAGCACCAGGGGTTCACTCTGGCTTTTTAACAGCTCACGTTTAAAGAAACAAACCCGCTCCGTCCGCCGTGGCCTGGCCTCCACCCCTCTTAGCGCCGGCTGTCCTGCATTCTTAAGCAGGGTTTCCTTGAGTTCATCCACCTATAACTCGAGTGATTCTATAAAAGAAACCATTAAAGCTGAGCCCCTAGGAATTATGCTTCCCCCCTGGAAGGATTTTAGAGCAAAATAAAAATGCCTGACCTGAAAACCTGGTGCCGTTCCAGACACCCTAAGTCCAAGTGCTGGGAATGGAGTCCACAGCACCGTGGGAGGACCTGGCCAGGGACCCACAGGCTCCGCTGAGCGACAGCAGGTCAGGGGACAGAGGAGACCTACAAGGGTTGGACATGTTGCCCGCAGGGCCTCGAGCTCCTCATCTGCAAAAGCCCTGCCCGTCCCTTTCCTGGTAACCCACCCCCTTTCACTGAGGCAGCTGTGCCGAAAGCCGACTCCACCTGGCCTCACGGGTGGGACTGAGGCTTAATAAGAGGCCACTAATCCTCTAGTACAGTCACTGGCTCAGGGATTAATATGTGACCCAATTCAGTCAGTGAAGGCAAGAGAAGTGCCCTGGAAGTTTCTTTTCTGGAAACTTTCCACTCTAACTTTCAGAAGTGATTTTCTCTCTACAAACAGGACTGAGGGAAGAGAAATGGAGGGAGTCCTAGCATCGGCCACCACCTAGCAACCACAGGGAGAGCAGGATCAACAAAAGCTGACCAGCAGAAGGAGCAGCAGAGAGGCAGGGTCTCTCCTGATGTCACCAGGTCATGGTCAAACCAGCGGCACATTCGAGCCGGCCAGCAAGATGAATGACCTGCCCCCGTGATGGAGTCCAAGCCGATGTTTGGGGCCATTCTTGCCCCTTTCTAAGTGGCTGAGGACAGGGCACATCGGTGCAGGCCATGGTGGGCCTGGTCAGGAGCAGACCCTCAGCAGGTGTGGCTGAAAGACACCTGGCAGTGGTTCACTTACCTTCACCAAAGACAGGGACACAGAAAGTAGGCCGGCCATGTCCCCCTGAAGCTGACCGTGTCATGCCCATGTGACCCACCAGAGCTCCTCGGCACACGCCCAGGAGAACTGAGCCCAGCGTCACATGACCAGCTGCATGTGAGTGGCACAGCAGCAGCAGGCACAAAATCAGAACACGGAGACAAATGCCAGGCCTGAGGACGGTGTGGCTCACCTGGGGACAGGGAGGACACAAGCCAGAGAGGGTGGGCTCCAGGGACAGTAGGCCCGATGGCTCTGAGGGGGCCATCCTGGCACTATAGCAGGGGGCTCAGCAGCAGCACCCCCAGCTGTGACAACCAAGAATGCCTCAGAACTTGTCACGTGTCCCCTGGGAGGCAAAGGTCTTGGTGGAGAGCCTCCCCCTG